AAAAATAAGTAAAATTGCTAATTAATAATAGAAAAAATATATTATATGCTGGGTTTTTTTAGTTTTTTTTGCTTTATTTCTTTAAAAAATTTATAAGTTTATATACTAAAACAGTATTTCACCTTTAGTATATAAACTTGTATGCATTTCACTTCAAAGATTATGTACCTTGTGTACCAACAATGTTTGATAGCTAAAAGATTACCTATTTCCAAAACTTAAAGAGGCAACTATAATAAAGTTAATCTATTTTTATCAGAACTTAAATAAAAAACAACATAAATGATAAAAAAAAATGTGTTTAATAAGTTTAAAAAATAAAGAAACTTGCCACAAATGAACATATGCGAAAAACATACATATCAAGTTGGTTTTGAGTCTCATACAAAAAATAGATTTTCTAGGATTGAAATGAAAGAAGATGGTTTGCCTACACCACAAACATATTTAATTACAATGTTACTCCACAATCTACATAACATGCTGTGATACATTTAACTTACATAATGAAAGAAAAACGAAAAAGGTATTAATAATCAACCATAAAACATATTTTCAATTCAAATGTAATTATAAGTAAAGATTTTTTGCAAAATAGTCAATGAAGTATATCAATATGTCTTATTTCCATCTATTATCATGTAAGTTAAATGTACTCACATGCTGTGATACATTTAACTTACATAATGGGAAAAAAAAGGGAGAAGGTGTTAATAATTAACGATAAAACTTATTTTCAATTAAAGTAAAGATGAACATGTTTAATGTTAGTTTTAGTTATTATTATGTTTCTTAAGATGTTAGAAAAATAATTTTCAGCGTGTGAATTGAAAAATATTAGAATTAATGTTATTCCTGGAAAGAAGATATATTCTTCATGATTCAACTGTTTTTACAAAAAATGATAGACCAGAAAAACCTATTACCAGCTATATTTATAAAGATGGAGATAGTGAACTTACTTCAAACAAACTTTTTTTAAAAAATGTGGTTGTGGTGCAGTGGTATTCGCTTTATAAGCAAGAAGTAGTGCAGTATTATAAGTTCAACAAACAGTAAAACTAAAAATTGAAAAAAATATTTAAATATATATTGTTAAATATTGATCCTTTTTAGTTGAACGCAATCCAAATGATTCAGAAAAACAATTTCAACAGTTTGGTCTATCAAATATATAGAGGTTAATTTTACTAATTTCTCAGATTTCATGCATAATGGTGCAAAAAAGATAAAATTCTATTTTTCCCTGTATATAAAAAAGGAAAGTATCTCAAGAGATTGTAGATAAAACTATTGAGCTTTATTGTAATGTTGAAAGTATCAGAAAAAGCCTGTAAAAAACTATTTTTTGAGTATAGCTTGATGATTTCACTTAAAAAACATTAGAATATCAAAAACCATGCACAACAGAGAACACCAGGTTATGCCTGGTTCTGCTTCTTAACATTTTTTAAAACATTTTAAAGAAACTATTCTAATAAGTTTAAACATTATGTTATGTAATTTATTTAATTGGTGCTGAACTTTTTTATTAACATTTTTATGTTTATTTTTATTTTTAGCTCAAGCTTATGTTATTTGTTTTTTGTACTTTATGTACCAATCTTATTTCTCTGTTTTTTTGTTTTTTTGATTTTACTATTTGGTTTTTATTTTGGTTTGGTTTGCTTTAATTTGGTTTGGTTTAATTTGGTTTTAATTATTAGTTACTATCTGTTTTTCTTATTTATCAAAAAACACCTTTTTTTAAATACAATAATATATGTTAAAAATACTTACAAAAACGTAATTCGCTAATGTGAAATGTTCCAGTTTGCTTTTGTTTATCAAGTATTTCAGGAAGAACTACATCATGAACATAAATTTTCATTTCATTTAGAAAGCATTTCATCACTGTCACTAGGTCTTCAGAAAAGCCCTTGGGTAGTTTTACTACAATGCCAGTTCTTAAAAACGTTATTTTAATGAGATTATCATTTTGTTCATTTTCTTCAGAGGATTGAGTGTTTGAATCGGTAGTAGAAGCTTGATTACTATTTTTAGAAGCAGCAGCAAAAGCTTGTTTATTATTTTTAGAAGCAGCAGCAAAAGATTGGTTGTTATTTTTAGAAGTAGAAGAAGAAATTTTTTTGCTAATTTTAGACGCATTAGAAGAAGCTTGCTTATTTTTTTTTGCATTTTTAGTTTTTAATTTTTTCGAATGTTTTGCATCTATTGTGTAAATAGTTTCTTTTTTATGAGAAAGCTTATTGAAATTCACTTTAACATTTGAAGCACCCTTTTCCTTTGCACAATTTTTTAAAGCAGTTTGCATATCTGTTTCAATGTATACATGAAGACCTTTAGAAATAAAGTAAAATATTTCTTAACAATAAAAATATAAAAACAATTTACAAATAATATACAAATTATTAACAAAAAAAAGTCTAAGATATATAAAAATGCAAAAAATGATATATACACTTATGTTAACATTAAAACATTATGTTAAATTATGAAAGTTCTAATAAATCTAATCCGATAAATATTTTCATTTTAGTTTGAAAATTAAACAAAAACTAAATTCTTAAAATATGTGTCAAAAATGTGCCTAATAAAAATACTTAAAAATACTTGGTTAGAATTCAATAAATACGGCTGCGTATAAACTTTTTTTAAATATATATATATTTTTTCTTTAATATATAATTATTTCGATATTTTGCTGATCTATTGTGATCAGCGTCATCAAGTATAATAAACAAAATAGTTACAAAATCGTTATAGTAAAAACAAACCGTTAAAAAGATAACGTTAAAAAGCCATATAATACAGAAAAAACTTTTCAAACAGCTGACGTCAGCAGATTTTATTAAAAAATGGCCCCCAGGTTTTGGTTGTTACGTTATCACTGTCATCCCGATTGAGAACCAGGTTACCATTTCTCAACTCCTGTTGAACCCTAGCCTGGCTTATTTCGAGTGACTCTCTGATTTTCCGAGTTCGATATTCTGGGGCTACAGATAATGTTTTGGGGTGCAACCAATCAAACTTACCATGGCATGTTTTAGAATGCTCAGTTGCACCCGAACTGGACTATTTTTCTTTTAAGCTGTTTTTTTGGTTCAATACATCTCGATATCACCTTTTTAGTTTCGCCAATGTATATCGAACCGCATGAACATTTTAGCTGGTATACGCCAGGGTCTGTGTTTAGTGGTAGTTTAGTTTTATTGTTGCAGAAATATTTTTTAAATTAGGAGTTGATGTGAAAACAACCTTTATGTTTTGCTTTTGAAATACTTTACGAAGTTTTGGACCAACAATTGGTATCCAAGGTAGTTTTATAAAGGGTTGGGTATCTATTTGTTGAAATGTGGTGTTTTTTGAACCATTTTTTAAATAGTCTATAGTAATATTATTTAGAATGTTCTTGTTGTGGCCATTTTCAACAAAGATGTCTATTAGAAAATCAATTTCTTTTTGAAGGTGTTTTTGAGAGCATATTCTTTTAGCATGACATAAAAATCCTTTGAAAACGCCAATAATAATGTTAGGATTAATGTTCGAGTTAGATTTAAGTTGAACATTTGTAATAGCTTCTTTTCTATGTATTTGAAATTCATAAGTTCCAGAGCCTGTGTTTGTAATGTTAATATCTAGGAAATTGAGTTGTTTGAGGTCGTTTTCAAGTTCCACTGTGTATTTTATGGCAGGATGTTGTTCATTAAGGATGTTCAGGAACATTTGTTGTTATATATTTATATTTATATATATATATATATATATATATATATATATATATATATATATGTAGTGTCTACAGAGTTTTTAAATATATTAGCTCAATTTCCAACTCAATAAAAACTGAGTAATGATTGTGAGTATGCTCCCTTTTAATAAACAATTTAATATTGCATTTAGATAGTACCACTTCTAGACTCAATGCATTCAGTGGTAACATTCAGAAAGCACACGCAAAATGTCACAATTTGTACAATTTGATCCAACACAGAACTATTTATTAAATGCATCCAGAAATTATATTGCTTTTAATCTTGTTCTATGATCAAAAAGAAATTAGAAACTGCTAAAAGAATTAAATTTGCAAAGAAATATCCTGTTGGGAACTCTACAGAAGTAAGACAATTCAAATTCATTTTCTTTTGTGCAGTCTTTGATTTAACTTTGATACAGTTACCATAAACTTGTGAAGAACTCCTTAAAGCATCTATCATCTATGCTAGAAAATCTGGTTTAAATGAAAATGTAAAATATCCAAAAATGATGCTAGATTACTTTCCGTATTATTCTGTTCATTCATGAAAAAAGTTGAAAGACTTATTGATTTGGTTACAGAAGCAACAGCTGTATTTGGAGATGTGAAAAGAGAGATACTTTTACAGAGATCATTCATTAATATTCGTGGTCTTTGAAGTAACTTGTCATCTGTTGAGTCTTATCTCTTGGAAAGTTCATCAGACCTACTTTCTCTTTGTGAGACTAATTTGAGTTTGGCTGTCTTATTTTGTCCTTTGTGTTGATGGTTATCTTCCTTTAGTTTGTAAAGACTCTAATAGTCACATGCGTGACCTGGGCATTTGTAAGAACTATTCTTTTATGTGCTTTTGTTTAGTACCAATTCATTCTATCACCTTTTTCTTTGTTCTATATTGCTCTCCTTTATTTCAAGATTGTATTCTTTTAAATGTTACTTCTGATCAAGTTGACCTTCTTTCTTTTTATCCTTCAGCCAAATTTTTGTTGTTGGTGACTTTAATGCTCATTACACAGAATGACTTGACTCTAATGTCAGTGACTTTGCAGAATGACTTGACTCTAGTGTCAGTGACTTTGCTGGCATTAAAGCCCACAACTTTTGCCTTTCTTAATCTCTAACACAAATAGTAAACTTTCCAACTCGCCTTTCAGACAATTGGAATCATTTACCTTGTCTACTCCACATATTTCTTGTTTCTGATCCTAGTCAGTACTTAGTTTCGTCATTAGGTGCTTCTGATCACAGTTTGATCTCTCTAAAACTATTATCTCATTCTTCTTCATCATCAGAATCCCCTTATCATCGCACCTTTTAAAACTACCTTAAAGCTGACTGGAACTTTTTCCTTAATTTTCTTTGTGACAGATTTTAGGTAGAAATTTTTGTTTTCCTGCTGACAAATGTGCTTCTTATGTAATTTCTTAGATTTAGGCTGGAATGGAATCTTAAATTCTCTTACTTTTCTCAATGGGTTTTCTCTCATTGTACTGCTGCAATTTCCAATCATAACCATTATATCCATATCTATCACTAAAATAATTCTCCTGAAACCAGACAGTTTTTTATTATTGCTAGAAACTATTGTAAAAAGGTTTTACCGAACGCCAAAGCTTGGTATTTAGTAATACCAAGCTTTGGCATTAGGCAACCACAAAGTCTCCTTTTTCATCTCAACCACGAACCACAAAGTCTCGCATTTCATCTCAAAATATAGGCTCCTGAGACTTCTAAAGAATCTTTAATAGTGTCAACAATAAGATTTGTTATTCCACCTCTCTTGCATGGTTTAGATTTTGTTACTTCACCTAAAGACAAAGCTAAATTGATTGCAAAGAACTTTTCATCATTCTCATCTTTTGATTCCACTAAACACATTCTACCTGATATAGCCAACAAAAAGGTTAATCCATTGCTTGACTTTTGTATTACTCCAGCATCTGTATATAAAGTGAGTTTCTGCTTCGACTTTTCTACAGCTTGTGGTCCATAAAACATACTTGTTAGTGCAGAAGTGTTCTACCAAGCTGTCATCTATACTTTCAAAACTATTTAACAAGTGCTTATTAGAGATAACAGATACTGTTTTCCAGCCTGCTGGAAAGCAGTATCTGTTATCCTTATTTTCAAAAATTCTGGAGAGCAATCTGACTTGCCTAACTACCGCCCCATTAGTCTTCTTACTATCATAAGCAAGGCTTTTGAGTCTTTACCTAACAAACACTTAATGTCTCATCTTATATCTAATAAATTACTTTCTGATCATTATTATAGATTTTGATCTTCTTGTTCTACTACTGATTTGTTAACAGTAATAACCGATAGGTTTTATCATGCAATAGATAGATGTGGAGATGTAAGGAGTATCGCTCTCAACATTTCTTAATTCTTTTATAAAGTTTGACATGCTGGTCTTTTCTATAAGCTCTCTTCTTACAATTTATCAGTAACAACTTTAAGATTATTGAATCCTTTTTTACTAATTGTAGTATAAAAGTTGTCCTCAATGGACAGAACTTTTCTTCGTTTCGTTTAACTTCAGGGGTTCCTCAATATTCCATCTTGGCAATATAATCTTTTTAATTTACATTAACAATCTTCCAGATTTAGGTGATTTAAGGTGGCATTGTTCACTGATGATACTACCATTTATTCTTGTCTTAATAAAAAGCCAACTCTCTCTGATTGCTTGGAGAAGCTATTTGAGCTTGAAAAGAATCTCACTTCTGCTACAGCATGGAGTGTTTTTCAATTCTTAGTGGCTGATGAACTTTAACTTAAATAAAACTCAATTTATCTTAGCTAATCATTATTGCAACAATCTAGATCTTTTGTTTATGTTTTTTATTTACTAATTGAGTAATGTACTCAATTAGTTATCTACCCTTTGCCTTTTAAGATTAACTCTTACTTTTGATCTTTCTTGGAAACCATTTATCGAATCTGTTGCAAAAATAGCATCTGCCAAGGTTGTATCTCTTTATTATGCTTGCCACTTTCTTACTCAGGATTCTATTCTTTATTTCTACAAATATCTAATATGTCCTTGTATGGAATAATGTGCCATAAATGGAGCAGATCTTCAAATAATGCCCTTTCTATTTTAGACAAGGTAAACATAAAAACGCATTGTAAACATAGTTGGACCTGCTCTTGCAGCCAATCTTCAATTATTGTCACAATGCTGTAATGATGCTTCTCTTTTTTATAATTACTATAATAGACGCTGCTCTAAAGAGCAGGCACCTCTTCTGCCATCTACTTTTTGAGCATGAAGGAACAGTTATAGTAAAAGGAGTTAACTTAACCAATTGAAAAGTCAAGAAAAGTTTGAGCTTTGGCTGATGAAACAAGTGACAACCACAATAGTACTTGAAAAAGAGAAAAGTGAAAGAAATGCAAACTTACAACGATGTAGCAATGACTCAAGCTTAGCAGCTAGTGCAAGTCCAGCAAAATTTACAATTTTACATTTTTTTGGACCTTGTCTAAAAGAAATAAGGCTTTCTTAAAATAACTATCCCAAATGACAACAAAATATCATATAACTGACAATTTCATACAAATGACAACTGTATTTCATAAAGCATAAACAAGAGATTTACAGAGAATAGAATCAGAGCCAAAGAATAGACTTTAGACTAAGAAAATGGCAAGTTCAATAACAAAAAGTAACCTTAGCAGAGGCAAACTTGAAATCGTTTGAATATATGGTTTGTGTGATTGGTCAGTAGTTAATGATA